CTGTGGAGAAAAAAAGCACAAGCAGGGAAGAGAGGGGAGGGATGCTTTAAAGGGGGAAGGGGCATACTTGAACTGTTTTTGAAAGTGTTTTAAGGTGCTCTTGTACATCCCTGTCCTTGTACTGCTGCTACAGCTAAAGGAATTGTGAGTGTCCTTTTAGGCTAAACATTTGAAATAATATAAACAATATGATGTTCAAACTTGGGCTGCACAATTCATCGAATTTTAATCACGATCACGATTTTGGCTTCCCACGATCAAATTCGCGTGATCGAGCGATATTTAAAACGCGTCATTCCGGTCATAGAACGCTCCATATCAAAATCTTATTTTTTTTTTTTTGCAAAGCCAATCTAACGCTCCGTAAAGCCTTGTTTATAGGCTACTCGACGCGTCCGCACGAGCGCGAAGGTGCGCGCGGCAAACATGATGAATTGCGGTGTGGGCGGTCGTGCGCGTTGGGTGCGCAAGACCCCATTTCGCCTGGCGGTGTGCACGGCACTTTTTGTAACATCGCGCACGACGCCGCATCCGAAGATGAACGACTTCGAGCCGAATCTGGCCGAGCATGTATGTACCGCACCGGCACCCAGTTTGTGCGCCTTAAATTAGTTTCAAAATGAGCCTATAGCAAACATAAGCCATTTTAATAAAAATAAAGTTCCATGTTTTATAAAATGTCCATTAAACTTAATTAAATGTTTAGTGAAATAAGAAAATATTTAAAAGATCGTTAATTGAGTTGTATAGCCTGCATCCTACATACGTTTTTATATCCACATATTTTGTTCTAATGTCACAATAATAATCTCAGGGTTTACTAGATTTTACACGATTCTTTTTGTAGTGTTATTGGTGGTGATGTACTAAACTAAACATTAGCTGCGTCCCAATGTGCATACTAGTTGACCAATGTCACATACTATTTAGGATGGATAGTATGCACATTGGGACGCAGCCATTGTCACGTGTGGACCTTTCTTCTTCTCACGTTGATTCCTGATGGTTAAGAGGACAATTACTTTAGTCGCCCCCTGTCGTTTCACAGAATAGCACAACGGCGAGCGCGTCGAGTATAAACGCCTCGTCCGTTTGGAGAGGTGCGCGCGCAGTCAGCAGAGACTCGCGCTCTTGCGGACGCGTCGAGTATAAACAAGGCTTAAACCACTGTCTGATCACGCTGGACAAAAGCAAAGCGAACTGCACGAGCAAGCGACACTGCGCGAGAGAGACCGGGTGTGTCCGAGAGCGCGCTCGACAGTGCGCGAGAGATACCGAGTGACTCTGCATGCGAGCGAGAGATACCGAGTGAGTCTGCACGCGAGCAAGGAAATAGCGTCAGGTCGGGTCGGACCAAGGGGGTAATCCATCGACCGGAAGTTGAAGCCGGCCGGGTGCCGCCATGTTGTAGCAGAACTTCACTTGAGTTAGCATTTCCATTGACTCCCAGTCATTTTGGCGTCACTTTGACAGCGAATAACTTTACATCTGAGGCGTTTAAAGACTCCATTTGTCCATTATTTATTTCTAAAGAAACACGACAATGTATAAAGGGCTCCATTACCTTCTATGTTACATTATGGCCCCGTAGAAACAGATTTAGTAAAAATAGGCTAACGATTGCGTCATAACCACTCGACTCTCTGTCGCGCTGTACAGAAATTACCTTACAGACAGGAGGAGAAGCTCGCAGGCAATCGGGGGGACGTCCCGTCAAGGGAGAAGCCCATAGATAATGAGTCCATAAAAGCAACGGAATACTTACTCCTGCTCACTCACGCCAAAGAACTCTTTGCTCAAGTTCCCCGTCTCTGCAAGATTAACGTTGGCAGTTTTCACGCACAGCTACTAGAAGATTAACGTCTGTCAGACAGGTTGCTCACGTCATCAAGCTGAGTTTGAGTCGGTTTGAGTCTGCGCGTCAGGAACGGAAGTTCTCAAAAATCGCTAAAAGTGGGCTTCAACTGTCTCAACTGAGTTCCAATGAGATCGCTCTGTCCATTTCTTTTACTGTCTATGGGTCGGACTCGGGTCGGGTTTTTCTTTAAAAAAAAAAATTTATGCACGTCGGGTTCGGGTAAGTAGTGATTCGGGTCGGGTACAGGTTTTAGGACCCGAGAAGACCTCTAGTCTGCACGCGAGCGAGAGAGACCGAGTGAGTCTGCACGCGAGCGAGAGAGACCGAGTGGCACTGCGCGTTTGAGACAGTGTATCCGAGCATTAGTAAATTGGTACATACTACATAGTAATATATAATTAGGCCTACTATATAAGAGGCATGGAAGTTCCATTAATGGACTCCAATGATCAGTACTACAAACGTCTTTTTTTAAAATATTGTTAAATAAATAGAAATAATTTGAGCACATAAACTTTCACATGGAGGATTAAATACGATTCAATTTATGCAGTAAGATTTCACAACTAATCACTGACACTGTACCATGTCAAATAACAATGACTGAATTGTATTCATTAATCGAACTTCCATAGTGCATAGTTCTGCCTTGAAATGTTCTCATTTTTGGTCACATTCTGTTATGAAATATTTGTTTTTTATTGATTGTATATTTTGAGTTTTATTCACATCCATTATGCAGGTACAATGCAAGTTTAAATTTTGCTTCCTAAAATATATTTACACAATGGAAAATAGTGCCCTGTTGAAGTTTTGCTACATTCTCTTTATTTTTCTTTATTCTTTAAGGAGATGCACTGAATTTAGGTTGTTGTGGAAATTTTAATAGTCATTGATCCCTAACAGATATCATAAGAGAGAGAACCTATTCAATGTGTAAAATATATGCGTGTACGTGCTTGTGCGTGACGTTTCAGGAACATATGGGACAGAACGACTGACCTTAGGGACAGCCAGTTTTGGCCAGTTTATTTCAGTACCAGTTTGTCTCTAAGTAGAGACTGAACAGCAGTAAGGACCTTATCTGAGTGGGTGAAAGGTACAGCGGGTGAAGAGGAACCTTGAAAAGAGTATAAAGACTGTCTCATATCTTCCTGTTGTGTGTCACTCCTCGCACAGATTGAACTCCTGTGTGTTTGGGACTGAACCTATTCTTGCAAGAATAAAATACTTCTTTTTATTAATTTGACTCTTGAGTGTCTCTTACGCAGTGATGATGTTTAACAGAAGTTTTGCCACAACCCACTGTACTAAAACACAGTCACCAGATCTCAACCCAATAGAGCATCTTTGGGATGTGGTGGAACGGGAGCTTCGTGCCCTGGATGTGCATCCCACAAATCTCCATCAACTGCAAGATGCTATCCTATCAATATGGGCCAACATTTCTAAAGAATGCTTTCAGCACCTTGTTGAATCAATACCATGTAGAATTAAGGCAGTTCTGAAGGCGAAAGGGGGTCAAACACAGTATTAGTATGGTGTTCCCAATAATCCTTTAGGTGAGTGTATATTCTCTGGCTCATAGGCATCTTACAACAGTTCCCACAAGAGCGATTTATACATTATCATGACAGAATCTGCTAACCTACCACTTGAAGATAGTTTACTCCACATCAGCTACATAAATTCATCAACTAACCATCCAGAAACGTTCTGTTGCATTCTACAGTACATGTTGTCACTTCTTGAGTCTCTCCATCTAGGGCTGTCGCGGTGAAGGAATTTCCCTTGCGGTAATTTTGAATGGCTCAATAGCGCGATATGCGGTATTACCGCCAGTTATTTATTTATATTTGTTTGTTGCTATATAAATACATGTTATGATGTGGTCAGCATACACAAAACAATGTAACCGAAACTAAACAGCGTCTCTGCGCATTGAAAGACTGTCACTCAGCGCGCACATTGTTACACCAACGGACTGTCTTTGAGTGAGTCATTAAACCGTTCATTCAACGAAAACGTTCAAAAAAGCTGATTCCTTATCCTTAAATGATAGATGTAATGAAACAAGGTGTTAATTATTTTTTTCTCTTTGAGCTCCACTTTTGGGCAAAGCTGAAGCAATGCTTCACTTAAAGGCATTGATTCAATGTGTGACTCGCTGCTTTCCCCCCACGGCTTCCTCGCGCTGTGTAATGCCAGAGACAATTTATATAAAAGGACTTTGGTAATTCTGACCAGCGCTGACGCCATTCATGGTAAATACCCTTACCACGTTAAAAGGATGATACGACATATTTCGCTTTCCTTGGAAACGGCAACCTTTTCACGAATATACATGACTTGACTTCAAAGACAGACGCAGGTAATCGCACGCGCTCAGTCGATCACATTCACTGTCTGTTTAGGCTAATCCACGAAGCCTCAGTACAAATCACCATGATAAACAGTCTTGCTATCATTATTAACTTACTTAACATTCAATACACATGGTACGAACTACGAAGGGTGCCCTTATGAAAAAAGAAAACGCGGTTCGCAGTTGCTGCGGTTACTTGCATTCCTCTGCGGTTGGTCTGTCAGTAGCGCGGTATTGCATTATTGCAGTTATCGCGACAGCCCTATCTCCATCATTGTCAGACCCCGGTTTGTACATAAAAGGCTGTAAACAGATGAGCTCTTGAAGCCCCTCCTTCTACTTGAAAGGGCGCAGGAGCAGCAGCTCATTTGCATTTAAAGGGACACACAAAAACAGCGTTTTTTGCTCACCCTAGTAAAGTGACAATTTTAACATGCTATAAAAAAGGATCTGTTGGGTATTTTGAGCTACACCTTCACATACACAATCTGATATATCAGAGATTTTACATCTTGTAAAAAGGGACATTATGGGAACCCTTAAAGCAAAAACAGAAAAAAATAAATCTCACCAGTTCACCAGAAAAACTTAAGAAATCTTTTAATGCAAAACAAGTGTTTGAAGTTTAGTAAAGTTGAATCATATCATTATAAATCATGATATGCTTGATCAAACCATCACCAGACTTCAAACTTCACTACTAATTTAAGCCTTAGATTTAGTCACTCTATTAAACTATTTCAATGTCAAATTACTTATAAGGACAATATTTGTAAATCATGAACGTAAATGTGAACTTTGCTCACTTAGACGTCTTGGGCAATGCTTTTTCTCATGATTCCGTAGATTAGATGATTGAGCAAAACTCTTTCCACAGTGTGAACACTTGTACGGTTTCTGTCCAGTATGAACTCTCTGGTGGTTTTTTAAGTGGCTGGATGTAGTGAAGCTCTTCCCACAGTCAGAGCACACATAAGGTCTCACACCAGTATGAATACGCTCATGCGCTTTTAAAGGCTGTAGTAGTGAAAAAGTTTTTCCACAAAAAGAACAAAAGTGAGGCTTCACACCAGTATGAACTATAAGGTGGTTTTTTAAGTGGGTGGATGTATTGAAGCTCTTCCCACAGTCAGAGCACACATAAGGTCTCACACCAGTATGAATACGCTCATGCTCTTTTAAAGCCTGTAGTTGTGAAAAACTTTTTCCACAAAAAGAACAAAAGTGAGGCTTCACACCAGCATGAACTATAAGGTGTCTTCTTAAGTTTGATTCCACAACAAATGTTTTATCACACTGATCACAGCTGAATGATCTCACTCCAGAGTGACGGCGCAGATGATCTCTGAGATTACTGCTCTGAGTGAAACTCTTTCCACACTGAGAGCATGTGAACGGTTTATCTCCAGTGTGAATTCTCATGTGTTTCTCAAGGCCTGATTTTTGTGTGCAAGTCTTTCCACACTCAGAGCAGGTGAAAGATCCTTTTCCAGTTTTTCGAGCTCGTTTTTGTGGGAAACACTTTTCGGTCTGTTGAATGACTGTGTTTCCATCTTCATTTTTGAAATGCTGAGGTTTTTGAAACTGATGTTGTTTGTCTTCGTTCATTTCCATCGAGTCTAAAATCAAAATATCAAGTTTTCAAAAATTCAAATAAATAAAAATTACAACAATAAATACACTAATTTAGTCACAAAGCAAAAGATTTAGTCCTTTTTTCAGTTTTCACCTTAAAGGGTAAGTTTGGTATTTTACACTTAAAGCCCTGTTTCAAAATCGTTTCTGATTAAATAGAACGGTTAAGATTAAAATTTGGACACATGCTGCTGTCCCGAGAAATTTTGGTTTCTGTGGTCGCACCCCCCCACCTCTACAATGATTGCATAGGTGCACAGAAACAATCCTTCAAAAAAACGCATTAATCTTTAGTTTACAAAGACGTGAAACTCACCGAGTGGTCAGGGGTGTTCACTGATATGCTCACACAAAAATCGCTGCAAAAGATGCTTTCCAACAGGTTTTATTGTAGTTTTTGTCAAAGTCCATTTTCTTCCTGTTTTTGGTCGAAGTCCACAGTAGTCGATTGTCGAGTTCGCGCGCGGGATCATTGGTAACTAGATAACTAAGGATCGCGCACGCAAACTCGACAATCGACTACTGTGGACTTCGACCAAAAACAGGAAGAAAATGGACTTTGACAAAAACTACGATAAAACCTGTTGGAAAGCATCTTTTGCAGCGATTTTTGTGTAAACATATTAGTGAACACCCCTGACCACTCGGTGAGTTTCACGTCTTTGTAAACTAAAGATTAATGCGTTTTTTGAAGGATTGTTTTTGTGCACCTATGCAACCATTGTAGAGGTGGGGGGGTGCGACCACAGAAACCGAAATTTCTCGGGACAGCAGCATGTGTCCAAATTTTAATCTTAACCGTTCTATTTCATCAGAAACGATCTTGAAACAGGGCTTTAAGTGTAAAATACCGAACTTGTCCTTTAATGTTCCTCATCAGTCATTAAAGAGAATGAAGGAAAACACCAACCTATTTGTTCCTCTGTATCTTCATCTTTTATTCTGCAGGGTTCTTCCTTAATCTCCATCTTTACAATAGTATGTCCATAGTTTCTCCTGGAGTAATTCCTCCTGCTTTCTTCTTCTTCTCCTGTGGGAAGATGGGAATATTCCTCAGCATTTAAACTCTCATGAACGGCTGTGGGAGCTTCACTGACTGAAGGAGTGAATTGTGGTCGTTGTTGCTCATTTAGCAGATGATCATCACACTTACAATCACTCCCAATTATTCAGGTGCAAATGTTTTCCCATGATATTTTTGAGACATCAGGACACAATATATTAAACAACAAACTTCAACAAAAAAAATCATGTCTTTTAAGTTTAAATGAAAAATAAATGTATTAGACAAATTATTAGATAAATAAATAGAAATAAAACAAACTATTAAAACTAATAATAACATATGTGCACATATTAAATCCACAAGCATACATAATGCAAACCAATGACAGAAATAAACTAATTTAGAAGATGTGGTGGCAATTTTAATGATATTCATTGATCTTTAGTAAAATATAGATGATTCAAAGAATGTCACATGTGTGTCTCTCACTTGTAGTGAGAGAAGATTATGTTTATGTACCTGGGGAGGCAGAAGAGGGAGACACTCCAGAGAACAGACGAACAAGGACCTCTGACCTAGATGTCAGAAGGCCATTTGGTGCAGGGGAGCTTAGTGGGCCAACTAGTGACGTCTATGGAAAACTACTGGGAGGAAGGCTCTGGGGGGAAGGAGGCCTTGAAACTAAGATAAAAGCTAGTTCAGTCTGTCTGGGGGTGTGTCACTCTTCTGCACAGGGTAACAACTGTGTATTAGACTGCTCCTATTCTTGCAAGAATAAATACTTCTATTTTATATAATTTGACTCTGAGTGTCTCTTACGCAGTGATGTTTGTTTGAGATGAATTTTTGCCACAACAGATTGGTGTCAGAATAGTGGGATTCCTTGGAAGTGCCTTCTGGACCTGAGAGCGGACGGTGTTTGGCCACCTGGACTGAGCAGTTCCAGCTCTACCTCGTAAATTTCAGAGAGAGGGGCCGACCGCTGTCAGGGCCAGGAGAAACTCCACTGGAATCAATTGAAAGAACCCGGTGGCAACAGAAGCATCTCTGGTAAGAGACAGTTCAATTTATTTTCTTTTGGGTACGTTAATTAAATTCAGTTTAATTGGGGAGAAGAGTGAAATTGAACCATATTGGCTGAAGGCTGTTTCTGTGGTACGTAATCTGAGATTAATTGAGATCTATATAGATCAAGAAATTTCAAACAGATACGAGGGAAAAAATCTGAGATTAATTGAGGTCTGTAACAGAACAAGAAATTTCAAGCAGATAAATAATCTGGGATTAAGTGAGAACTGTAACAGATCAAGAGATTTCAAACAGATAGGTACCCTGAAAATTAGTTGTTCCACCACGGAGCAAATTGTTTTTAGGTACTGAGGCTAATTAGGGGGAACCAGAACAGTTTTTGGTAAACCTTAATTAGGAGGGCACTAATAGTGCAACCCGACCGATTTGGGTTAAAAGAAAGAATCGGGTCTGTTGGGGACGCCTAAACAGATTAGAGAAAACGCGCGTTGAAGAGAAATCCACAGGGAACAGAAAACAGCCAGTATGGGAAAGTCTCAGAGTAAGCATGCCAAATTTTATACACCGGTTTTCTGTAGAACTAGGAAAGTATGGGGGGAAATGTATGTTTTAGATATTGAAAAAAAACTGAGAAAATACCATGATTTCCCCAGGGAGGGAACACTGAGCACAAATAGACTAAGAGTGTGCGAGAATCAGTGGAACAGGGCAGCGGGACAAAAGGTTGTTGTGGCTGCGTTCAACATGTGTGTAAAAAATGTGAACAGATAATGGATTGTTGGCTTGAAGATAAAATGTCGAACTGCCAGGAGAAATAATGTTTTTTTTTTACTTCTTCATCCAGTAAATGGATGCATGACATTAGATGTCTATAGAACTTAAATTTATATGACAAGGATTGAAGTATCAAGAAGCAATAAGGCTGTCTGTGTGAAATAGAGGGAACTGTAAGGGAGACTTGGTGGAAGAGGGAAGTGAAAAAAAAACACAAAAAGGTTGGTGTGTGAGACATGTGTGTGTGGGGATTGTTCAAACAATCATGTACTGGTTAGATAATGAAGGAACTGGCATGTTTGAGAAAAGAAAGGAGAGGATAATGAAGGAACTGGCATGTAGGGGAAAGAAAGGAGAAATATAGTAGAAAACTATATATGATGAAAAAAGACATGGTCTGACAGAATTTATGGAAGTCAAATTAACTGTTTAAATGATATGAAAAGTTTTAGAATAAAATAAGGCATTGTATGATTGACAGGGATTAACATGATATGAAGAATGTTTTAAGCAGAATGGGGAACAATTCTAGATTTTGATAAAATAATGATTGAAATGATGATATATCTGCTTTATTTTATTAATGTTAAGAAAATAAGGGTATTGAAGCAAGTAGCTATAATGGTTGTCTGTGTAATTTACGGACTGAGTAATATAATCTGTTTTGGAGAAACAGTAGAGATAAGACTGAGACAATAATGATAATATTAAGTTGAATCTGCAGACTAACCATGTGATGGAAGAAAAAGGCTTCAAACCAGTTGTAATGAAAATAATGATGTACAAATTGTTACACTTTATGAAGAGTAACGGAACAGTCCGGGAAAATAAATAAATAAATAAATAGTGAGACAGAAGAGAGCAAATGCTGTAAACAGCTCTGCTCTGAAGATCTCACTTTGAAGAGATTTGCAGATGATGTTTTGTAAAAGATAAGCTGGGATAACAGCAACAGTGCTTGCTTATTCGCCCGGCTTCCGGATGTTAGACATGTACTTGTAATTAGTGTTGTTGATGATAATACCAAATTAGTATGGTGTCACGATTCTCCAAATCCTCGATTCGATTAAGTTTTCGATTCTCAGGTCACGATTCGATTCGATTCTCGATTTAAAAAAAATAATAATAATTAAAGCGCAGATTGCTATGCAATTTTCAGACTACACGTTCATGCATTATGCAATATAAATTTGTTCACAATGTACACTACACCATTGCCAAATTTAAAATATAACAAAAACAAGTAACATCATAAATGTAACAATATTTTTATTAAGGCTTCTATTGGGGTTTTAGAATGAAGCTTTGAATGTCTTTCTCCGTATTTATATATGGTACACGCACATAGCAGAGCTTGCAAACTGTGGCTTTTTTGTCGACAACGCGAACGTTGTCAACATACCGCACTGCAAATCCAAAATACCTCCACACCGGCGACTTCAGAGAAGCAGGAGGGTGTTCAAGTTCCGTTGATGGGTCTTCGATATCTGCAGTTGCCATGATGTGTCATAGAGGACTCGCAGTCGCAGCCTTTCAACAGGTGTTTTGTTTTCCGCACCGTGATGAGTCGTTCATCATGAATGAGTCATTCATCATAAACGATCTGTTCAAATTGCCTCTGTCACGCGACAAATGAACAAAAGACTCGGAAGGTAAAGTAATTATTTGTTCCCTGTAGTGTAAATTATTTTTCACTGCATTCATTATGTACATCTTCTTAATGTTCGGGGAATTTGCATGTTAATAGTATAACATTTAAAGCCCCTGAAATGACTAGAAAAAAAGTTTAGTTAATTTTGATGAACGAGATTGAACAATAGAGTCTGTAAAACGATCCGAACTTTCCATCACGGACGCGACATGGGGCGTGGCCGTATCGACGATACCATTTTTTATTTCGATTTCGATACCATTGAATTAATTTCGATCGATTTCGATTTAATATCGAAATCGTGACACCCTTACAAATTAGTAAGGTAAAGACAGAAAACAAATTCGAATATTTTGAGCATTTTCTGTGCTGCTCATGAAATTATGTTCTGCCAATTATAATGATGAAGAGTATGATTTGGCTATTGTGATTGAATCCGCCATTGGTGGATGGTCAAAGGAATACAGAGAACTGCTTATCAGTGGGTCTGTTTACATTCCTGAATGGGACACACACTGCTT